TTCATCGACGTCCTCAAAAGAAGTCAGCCAAAGACAAACAATGTAAACCAAAGACACCACCGAAGTAAAAGTAAACATCTTCCTGCCCTTGAGATGACAAACGCGTAGCAAACATAGAAATGCAACGCAAAGAACATCCGTGTCTTTGTCAATCCGAAGCAACCGTAATCCGAAACATTGAGCGCAAGGACTGTCGGATCGAGCTCCAAAGTGTGACTCCCTGGAGCAACGCCTATTCATAGCAGTTTGTGAACGCGAATGCAATAAGAGGAATTACCTTTGTGGAGAGAGCTAACAGCGTGGGGGAACACACCATCCTAGCATCTACAACGTACGTTGTTAACCCCCCACTCCACACCCTGATAAACCTGAAAAAAACATCAAAAACTTCACGAAACACTAAGGCTAAATACCTGCGTGCCTCCTGAGACAAGCATCCGCTCTTCCGTGCTGATTTGGACATTGCGCCTTTCACAGTCGATGCTGACACCTTTTGGGCAAGACTTGCTCCACTCCCAAGGTGCAAAAAGCCCGGGACTATCACACTGTGGACATGCGCACGGGGCCTCCGGTCAAGAAAGCTGAAGCCGCGCCAAAAGAAGGCTCACAAAAGCTGATGGAAACGGACACCCACCAAGAGGAGCAGAAGGAGCCAAAGAAGCTTTCTGAAGTTGTTGCGCGTGCTTTGCCCAAGGGTTTGGTGAAGCATGAGGTACCACCTGATGGATGAAGTCACACAGTCCTTTGCCGGACTTTTGCGACGCAAGAAGTAGATGTCCTGGAAGGAGTCCTTCAGGATCTTTTCGTTTCGGCCTCTTCTTGGCACCACTCTGTGGGACAATGCTGTAAACACCAAACTTTGACGACCTTCGCAACGGCAGCACGAGGTTCACGAAGACCAAGGTGGCGCCACATATGACACCGAGCGCTGGAGCCAGGCGCTTGGCGCGAATCAAGTACTCAGCGTCACTTTCTCCACTTTCACGTTCTTGCCACGTCGTGCCAAGTGGTGTCCCTGAAGGCGTCCACATAGAAGCTGCCGAGTCCACTAACACGAAGCAGAGCGTCCGCTTGGTCGGCTGGGATCCTTGCCAAGCCCGTGTGGCGCTGCTTGTCGCCCTGACCATCTTTGTCCCACTTCCAGGTGTCCAGGACTGAACAACTGTGTGAGGAAGCCCAACTTATGAAGACACGCTGCGGATTAAAGGCCTTCATCGTTTTGCATAGTCAAGAGTACAACAGTGCTGGGCTTCTTCTCTACCTTCACGACTTCGCCCATTTGCTTGGGCTTCGGAGCAGTCAGGCCTTGAGAGGCGAAGGGAGTGCACGCACTCCAACCACCATGTTCTCTGCAATCATGTGACGCTCACCGTTGGGCACGAGGAATGGTCTTGCCAAATCGCCGATGTTTCGGTCGCTCCTGCACCCAGCCTCCTGGACCTCCTCCGCACACCTCCTGCTTCGACAGGCTTTGGGAGAGGGGACGGCAACCTGGGCCTACGATAGGCCTATGGGTAGCGCTAGGCATAGGCATAGGATAGGCCTATGCCTGGGGCAGGCATAGGCCCACGACAGGCCTATGCCTAGTAGATAGGCAAGGGCCTAGGGTAGGCATAGGCCTACGATAGGCCTATGTATAGGGTAGGCATAGGCCTACCCCACGATAGGCCTAAGCCTAGAGTAGCATAGGCCCTACAGGCCTATGGATAGGCCCGGCCCCGGGAGTTCTATGCCCTATAAGCAGAAAAATTGCCACTGAAGTTTCTGGGCATTTGCAAAGCACTACAGTAACTTCAGAGTGCGGTAGCCAACAGCGTGCTTGGAGCCTACTTTCGCTTCTACCACCCCTTTGCTGAATTCCTTCTTCGCCTGTTTGATCCTAACGCATTGCTACTTTGCGGGTCTGGTCTCCACTGTTGATCGCTGCATCGATCTGGATACCCAGGAGCTCGGAGCAGGCCGCCGCATAGGTCATGACTTCGACACGGGAGACCACCCCGCTGGTGACACTGATGGTGTCTCCGCCCACGGGGAAGCCCACGCAAAGGACGTGCTCCTGCAGCAAGTAACGTCTAAAAAGTTCACTGTGCAAATAGCACGCAGGTACAAGTTAGAGCCATCTGATCAGAAAACAAGCTCCGCATGATGCCACGTACGAGGTGCAAACCCAGCCTCCAAGTGGGGCACCTTCTTTTTAAGCTGAACTGCCTTGATATCTCGCCAGAACCTTGGCTCAAAACCTACTTGGGGTCTCCCACATGAAGAGAAAGACTTGCAACTTAGCTTTTAAGCTTCGTTTACCTGGACCTACACATCCCCCCCCATAGCTGCCGCGGGCTATCTTCTAATCCATGCAGCGAGGGAACTCGTCATTCTCTACTGTCAAGACCGCACAGTCAGCCTCCCATCCCACAGAGACCACCTTGCGTGAGGGTCGTTTTTTTGGCAAACGTGGGGTTGCCAGTCATCCAACTAACTAGGAGCATTTTCTAGAAGGGAGCTTGAGGGTTGGCAATCTGGAGTGCACAATCTGAACTACTGCAGGTTGCCTGTCTTAAACAGCCTTACAAGCTGCACCTTGCCAATTGCTGGCAGCATTCAACAGCAGCGCCCTTGCTACGTAGCAAATCAACAAACCATGTAGAAAGTCCCTTGGTTTTTAATGTCCAGCCAACCACAAGCTTTATACAGATTGCTGAAGCCAAGCAATGGATGTCAGTCACCCAGACTGATGGAAAACTCAAATTGCCGGCCTTCGCCAGGTGCTTGGTATCGCAGCCTCTTCTTTGTACCTCAGCAGCACCGGATGCATGAATATACCCCCATTTCCAGACCCCTTGCACATGGAGGCCTGCAGCATATGACATTTCGTAAAAGTTCCTTGAGCTTCATCAGCTGCAGACCCCCAAACTTGACGGATAACCGGATAACCGCATAGCTCCAAATGACCCCAACAGAATCAGAAGGAACTCAATGGCTGAAACACCAAATAGATCATTGAAACAATGTGCCCCAATTCTCACATGTTCCTCTTAACTTTTTGCTCATCCTGAACAGTTCAAGAGGACGTCCTTGGGAAGAGGTGCCTTCACTTGCGTATGCCACTCGATGCAGTGGGCATTGGTGAGGATCACTCTCCGCTCGGCGTCAATGACAAAGCCAGAACCACTGGAGCGGTACTGCCGACGTCGTTGCCAGGGCAAGGAGAAGTTTGGAGTGCTGTGTACGCACCAAACCTCGCAGGGTGGCAAGAACATGCGAACCTGTTTGGTTTAGCAAAGTCCGATGGTTGCTCCATCTTGACATGCTGGTCAGGTAGGGCCTGCATCATGAAAGGTTCACAAAACAAACGATCGAGCCAAGCATGATTTGTGCCCAAGCCGAAACCTTCACCACCGAATCTAGTGGCACACCAAGTCCTTCTAAGCCTTCCTCATCTTCTTCACATGCACCAAGCGCATCTTCTTCGTCTTCATCATCATCATCATCTTGAAGGCCTAGAGGGCTTCCACCAGCCACACCCCGCCGCTTCTTTCCATGTCTGGCAACATCCTTGCTCCCCTTCCTCGGCGCATCCTCCTTCTCAGGTTCCCGCGGAAGGCGGGTGCGCACCATGGCAAGTGTTCTGCAGCAAGGCTGTTAGGGTACAGCCGAGGGTTCCCACTAGGTCTGGGTTTTGAAGGGTTGTACGGCGTCCAAGTCACAAATCTCTTGACCGATTGCAGTCGACTGCGAAGTAAAGACTTGACTTTTTTCAAGCCAGGTGCAATCTCCTTCTGCCACACCATCATGCAAGAATACCTAATGTGTTTTATCAACAACCACAGTCTGCATTCTGGGCAAAAGGAGTGCACAGCAGCATGTCATCAATCCTCATGGCCCTGCTCATCAATTCAAGAACGTGCAGAAAAGGATATTCCTCTTCCAAGGCGACCGGGCGACCCACCCTTCTTCAAGACTTGCTCGGATAATTATTCATTAAATCAAATCCATTAAGGCCTTTGAGTTTGCCGGACACGACCACTGTCACAAGTGTTAGGTACCTTGACCCATCTGGACTACCACCAGTTCTCAAGTCACTCGGTCTACTGCAGCGCAGCTTGATATTGAGGACACACGGGAACCTGCCAAACCACCCCAAATGGTTCAGGTTCAGAACAACCTAGCAAGTTGTCTTGTGCACCACCATCCAGCCATCTCAGGAAGAAACTGCAAACCCCCTTTTGGTCCAGGAATAATCACAAGCAAGGGACAGGGCCGCTTCCAAGTAAGCACGCTTGATTTCCTTCTGGCTAGCAGTAGGCTTCAGGCCCAGGGTTTCATACGGTGATAAAGTCTTGCCAGCCACCTCCCCGCACAGGAAAAGACACGAAGGAATCATAAGGCTTTGAAGGCAAACAAACGAAAACTAGTCTCAGGGTGCATCTTTAACTTTAAGTCTCGAGGCCGGTGGCTAGTTGCGCGACATCTGACAAAAAATGTAGCATGCCTCTCGATGCCCCGAGGCCAACCCAATCTTCAACAAAAATAACCTAAGCAAACCTGTTTAACACAAGAATTGAGACTTGTCGCGCGGGCGAGCATCCTAGTGCCGTTACCAAAAAACTAACTGAAGTCTACACCTGGATGGCCTCCAAGAGCAGGATCGCCAACACCCGCATCCCCCGTCATGGCAAAGGCAATTGGCAACGGGGCAAAATCAAACAAGAAGCGCTGGTGTTTGGCTAAATCATTCCAACGGCGATGTGTTTCTACACATGACACGGTTTGCCCATTTACGCAATGCAAAAAAGAGCTGTTGGAAGACTGAATACAGTGAGTTTCATCACCCAACAAAATGTGTCATTGCAGCGCGCCAGAAGTGCTCTAATACACTGCGCGTTCAGTGCCAACTTACTTAACAGCATGCTTCACCTGTTTCCACAGGCTGTAGGCATCAAAACTTGAACAGGAGAGATCAAGAAAACTGTTCTCTTGCTTGAATTTTCCAAGGCCCTCGCCTTCAGGCTGCGTGATCACCCGGTAGTGCCTGGAAGGTACTGGTACAACATACTTTGGCATTGCAAGTGCTTCAAACCATGCATGACGTCAATGCCAGAACAAACAGAATGCCAGCATACCAAGAAACGCCGCAAACTAATCGGAACTTAACAACCTTGACATATGAGTTTCTCCCAAAACCCCCGTTTACTGAAGAGAATGTGATTCAGCAATGTTAATGAATAACATAGTCGAGCAAAAAAAACACTGCCGCATTGACATGGTTATCTCCAGGTTTCAGCAAATGTTATATTCCGCAACTCCTTAACTACTAAATCGAATCATAGGCTACAGCCTTTGACATCCCTTGTGCAAAAATTCTTGTGTTGACATCCCTTGCGCCTACGAGAATGAATGAGTGAATGATACAGTCCCAAAATTGTTCAACAAACACTTTTCCATGTACGCTTCCTTGGCCGACGGTGGCCCACAATGCCCTGGGAAACCCTGACGTCTTCTTCAACTTCTGCACGAAACGTTCCAGCAAGGCATTTCGACCTTGAGCATGCCACAACCACTGCCAAAAAAATGAAGCGCAAAATTCCAAAGCAAAAACGTTGGGAAACAACAACAACAACAACAACAACAACCTGAGAAGCTGCAAACCGAAGGCCGGCGTTTTTTGTCCATGAGCACGGTGTGAAGCAAAGTACAGCGGTAACTACCCTGGGTCTGCTACCCTGGGTCCGCGCGCGCACGTGCCTTGCTGGCTCCCAGCCTGCCCTAGATTTAGGCGCACGCGTGCGCGCGCGCGGACCCAGGGCAGCTACAAAGCATTTGCCAGGTCTAGCACTTCAATTTCCCTTTCCGTCAACCGCAGCCGTGACAAACGTGCAGCAATCCACGTACCCAGGGTAGCCACAATTCAGTTGCCAGGTATAGCACTTCAAGTTCGAAATCTTTTAAAAACGTGCAGCAATCCACAACTTCGAACTCTCATCCGCGCTTTGAACATATATAGGTGTGTTAGAGGTATAGCAACATAGCATTTATACTGACCCAGGGTAGCTACAATTCTGTCGCCAGGTATCGCGCTTTAATTTCCCCACCCTGGGTCCGCGCGCGCTCCTTCATGGCTCCCGGCTGCCCTAGATTTAGGCGCGCGCGCGCGCGGACCCAGGGCAGCTACAAGGCAGCTGCCAGGTACACCCAAAGTAGCCACAATTCAGTTGGCAAGTATAGCGCTTCAAGCAACCGAAGACAGTTGCATTTCTTAAAATCACAAAACCTCTAAAGCCTTGCTGCCGCGCACCCCCACACACCACCTACTTTCGAGCGCGCTTTCTCAGGCCACCCCCCCCGAATCCCCCTTCTTATTCAGCTGGCGCCTTGCCAGGTATTCAACTTCCCTTTCCGTCAACCGCTAGATAACCTTGAGAAACGTGCAGCAATCCACGGATTTGAAGACTCATTCGTGCTTTGAACTCAGATAAGGGTTATGCATTCACAGCTGCACGAATCTACAACACATCGGCCTCTGTAAAACTACACCTTGCCATTCAGATGATGCAAATGATGCAAATTGCATTTCTTGCATCACTACCCCCTCAAACATCACAAAAACTCAACCTCAAAAACCTTACCTCCGCGCACCCACCTATTTTCGAGTTTACGTAGTACACTCTCGGGCCACCCCCCCAGACCCCCTACTTACTCACTTCGTTCGCCAAGCACAACTCAGCTGGCGCCTTCTACGAAGGCTGGCTTTCGTAACAACAACAACAACAACAACAACAACAACAAAAACAACAACAACAAACAACAACAAACACCAACAAACAACAACCACCAACAACAACAGCAACAGCAGCAACAGCAACAGCAACAACAGCAACAGCAACAGCCACAACAACAAAAAGGACAAGGACAAGGACAACAACAACAACAGCAGCAACAGCAACAGCAACAACAACAAGAACAAGGACAAGGGCAAGGACAAGGTACAAACAAAAACTGCAAACCCTTTAATTACAACATATCTTCTTCCTTTGTCTCAACAAAAGGGTGGAAAGAAAAACTGTAATCCCCTCGTTGCTTTTCAGCCTCCCCAAAAAGCAACCAACCAACAAGCATGCGTACCAGTAGCGGTAGTGTTTGTACTAGCGCTAGTACGAGTGGTGCTACTAGTAGTAGTAGTAGTAGTAGTAGTAGTGGTACTGGTAGTGGTAGTGGTGGTAGTAGTAGTAGTAGTAGTGTAGTAGTAGTAGTAGCAGCAGTAGTAGTAGTAGTAGGTAGTAGGTAGTAGTAGTAGGTAGTAGGTAGTAGGTAGTGGGTACTAGGTAGTAGGTGGTAGGTAGTAGGTAGTAGGTAGTAGGCAGTAGGTAGTAGGTAGTAGGTAGTAGAAGTAGTAGAAGTAGTAGAAGTAGTAGAAGTAGTAGAAGTAGTAGAAGTAGTAGTAGTAGTAGTACTAGTAGTACTAGTAGTAGTAGTAGTAGTAGTACTAGTAGTACTAGTAGTAGTAGTAGTGGTAGTAGGTAGTAGGTAGTAGGTAGTAGGTAGTAGGTAGTAGGTAGTAGGTAGTAGGTAGTAGGTAGTAGGTAGTA